TTCATCATGGTGGAGATTGTGCAGTGAATATCATGTATGGCTCCCGTATTTGAGATAAATAATGTAGGATCTTTATAGTTTTAAATTATTTTTCTTGCCCCCAAAATATTACTGCTTCGTTTTTATATTATTTTATTTCAGTTGTGTCATACAAGAAAAGGTAAAGAAGAAAAGCTGATGCAATTGGCTGATAGGCGATACTAATATCTTCTTACCACTGATGATGTAATCCAAGATGGCTGAGAACAAATCCAAGATGGCTGAAAGTCAACTGATGCATGATTGGATACTTGGATATTCAATCCAAGATGGCTGAGAGCCAACAGACATGTGATTAAACATTGGATTATACAAATCCAAGATGGCTGCTCGTAATTCAAGATGGTTGGATACTTGACTATAACCTGCTAAAAATGGCAAAACAACATAATAATATAATTAAAAACAAATAAGTGAAAATCTGCTAAAGGGGATTTATATGACAATTTTTGCTTGCATTTATGCCTGTTTTTATTTTGTAAATGGGTTGAATGCATCAAACATTAGTGATACATACTAAAGATGGATATATCATGATGTATCTGTTACTGCTAGATTTTTTTATTATGTATACAGTTTAAAAATTGTATTTCATTGAATTTTAATTATATCAGTTAGATTATTATATTCATTGACATTGTTATCTGAGGAAATTCCTCCTGGCTAATGGGAACACTTGGTGAGTATAGCAGCATAGAAAGTGAGGTGGCAGTCCATTAATGCCATATGAAAATCAGAATGGAAATCTAGTCATAACTAAAAAAAAAAAAAAACTTTGATATTTACCTTATGAATGGCTTGATGGCAATTAGTTCAGTGTTTTGCCACTCCAATGTGGAAATGAAATATGTCTTCCCTGTTCTGTTCTACATATACACATTACAGGGCATATTCTGCTTTATATGATATATTCTACTCTAGATATGCTCATTACAGGGCTTAATTTGCTTTTCATAATTATACACATTGCAGGTCATTCTGTTCAACAGGCCCAACCCATTGGCTTAGCCATGTTCTACATATATACTGCTTCAAGTGGTCTAGTGTGCCGACAGATAAACCATTGATACATTTACTGTTAGTAATTCCAGTCTTCGTGGTCATCTGTTCTCCTGACTGGTTTTCTTTGAAAATGTTTCACCATGGTGATAATTTACATTTGAAACCAAATTATATTCCTGGTTGTCTTTCAGTTTGTTTTTGAAATCGGAATAATTTGATGCCAACAATTCTGGACAGACTGCATACATGTATTTTAAATATTAGTGTCTAATTTATAAATTGCTATGTTTTATTTAAAATTATTGGTGGTGAGTGTTTACTTGGGGGGGGGGGGGCAAGTAAAAGTGTATAACTGCCATATGATTTTGATTAACCCAATGAAGTTCTCAAGGTAATATACTGGTACTATACTGCAGATTACTCCAGAAATATATATATTTAGGAAAGTTGACTCATAGTCCCTGAAAAGGAAAGGATGCGTGACATTGCCTGAATGATATGTTAAAAAGAACACCATATCACATCTAGATTGTGTAACATTAAGAGAACTTGCACAGTTCAGTATTTAACATTGATTCAAAGTCGAATATTGTTTTTCCAATTGCAACACACTGAGCACACCATATTGGTAATGTCACAATGCAGTAACAATACACTAAAACCGCTATACTGATAATGATCTATAGTCTTGCACATCAAATGCAAGTAACCAACTGTCCAAACAAAGCAAGTTCCCTGAATGTCACAGAATATTGGTGTGTTATAAAATGCTTGTTTACTGTATTAGGGCAACTGCATATGTCTGCTGTCTTTGAGGTTGTTGGTCACCAACCCCCCCCCCCCCTTCCTGAGGTAACCAGTCAACATATGTCTACATTTCAATGAAATGGACGTTCCTAAATTGCCAAGGATAATCTAAGCTACTTGGCTAAATATCAACACCATAAAATTGTACTACGGTAGTTAAATTATTCTAACTTTATTGTAACATTTTGTATTCTGAAAAATCCTTTTTAATTATTTGTATCTGTATGCAGTAAGTCCCAAGAATAAAATGAGACATTTGTTTGTAAATAAATCTGTCTTTATTTGATAACACATCAACTACTTTAATTTGATTGAATTATTGCTATGTGATTGTACTTAGACTGTCGATAGTCCTCGGGCCTAATGTAATTGTGTATCCTAGACATTCAAATGCCAAAGGTGTTTGATTGGAAATACTAAGTACTTCACGCGAGGGACTTTAGTCCCGAGAGACTGCACTCCATATTCTCTGTGGTGACCACCGAACTCGGCCAGAATTCCACTCGGCCAGTGACCGTACTCGGCCAGCATATGTGTTAATGGGTTTGTCAAAGGGTGTCGATTTCAGTGACGCAACAGTAAAATGTTTAAAAAAAATACACGGGCACCAAGGGTTATCGATCTCAGTGATGCAATAGCGAGCGCGATTTCAGTGATGTCTATCGTGCTTTATTAATAAAAAAAGGGCTGTCGATCTCAGTGATGCAAGAGCGAGCGCTGTGTCTTTTGTCATATCACAGTAAAATGTTAAAAAAAATACACGGGCACCAAGGGTTGTCGATCTCAGTGATGCAATAGCGAGCGCAATTTCAGTGATGTCTATCGTGCTTTGTTAATAAAAAAAAGGGTTGTCGATTTCAGTGACGCAACAGCCAGCGCTGTGTCTTTTGTCATATCACAGTAAAATGTTAAAAAAAATACACGGGCACCAAGGGTTGTCGATCTCAGTGATGCAATAGCGAGCGCTGTATTACAGACTGCCAGAGTCAAATCACAATACAATATAAAAAAATGTACGGGCGTCAAAGGGTGTCGATTTCAGTGATGCTGAAAGGTTGTCGATTGTTAAAAAAT